ATGACACATGCGACTGCCGCATGCCCATGAGCAGTCCTCTAAGAGGTTTGCAGTAAAGATTTCGTAGGTAGCCTAAAAAGATAAAAGGGGTGAGGAGGAACTCAAAGTACAAATACCGGCAATAGATTAATCAAATAGCCCTCTTCGAACTTGCTATTGAAAAACAAGATTGAACCAACAATTTGACATACAAATACATAAACAACATCGAAAAAAGGATTTGATAGACTACCAACATATTATTTCTTAATATTGTGAATGGATTATAAGCAGATATTATCTATAAATTCAATTTCCTAAATAAAACTAAAACGTAAAACACAGCCTAATGATTCTGATTGGCTGATCAATGTGGTTCAGTTTTCATAAAATGTCAACAGTTAAATGACGAATTTTAAACTATTTAAAATGAAATACACAGTATATCTTGTTTAATTTCTTAAGAATATTGGTTGATTAATTAATTGATTAATCAGTCTATTATTAATGACTTAAATAGATTCCTATCTGAACACTTTATGTAAGGTTATCATGGTTCCAAAGCTGGCCCATGACAGGAGGTGCCTCTGATAAATGTATCTTGCATTTTATAGGGTTCTATTGACCAATTGATTTATTACTATTAATAAATGAAAATGTATGTCATTTTGATCTGGTTAAACTCTCGACCACTCAACAATTCCTTGCCACACTAATACATCAACCTAACATTGAATAACAGATCTGTTCTGAAAGTTATGTTGAACCTTTATGAATGACGATTGTGTGTAATTAAACAGGAATTCATCATTGAAGCTCTGCTCTCATTTGACTCAATGTATCAATGCTGCATCGTTGGACACACGTTTGTCTTCATTATATGCATTGGTTCGCTCATGCACAGCTAATGTAACATGTCCGTGTTAATTGCATAAAAATTGTTATTATTTGCAAAATATTTGTACATATTGCACATGATCCATATCTGGTTAACAAGGTTTTTGCAATATTCGCACCCATAGCCTATCATATTACCATATTAGATCCATTAGTCTACCATATGTGCCACTATCTTGATCTTCATCCAAGAAAAAAAAAGACATAGATAAAAATATTAATTGCTGAAGATTTTATTTGCTTTAGTAGAAGGAACAACATGTGCCTCTAAACAAATGATCAGCGCTTGTTGGTACTCTGATGGTCGTCGGTCTCTGAGCGGAGGGGCTCTAGTGGTACTGTCTGCCCAGGGAGCTCACCACGACGGCCAGGAACTTCTGGAAAGCGCCCTGGACATCAGCGGTGAAGTCAGCACCCATCCTCGCAGCAACGACAATAGTCAGGCAGTCAGCCAGCAGCTGCAAAAGAAAGGAGAAAATGGACACACTATTGTAATAGATAGGCAAGTAGAATGTGACCTTGTGTGAAGTAGAAAATTATAACTAATTTACCCTGAAGTTGTCGGGATCTACGTGCAGTTTCTCGGAGTGCAGCACACTCAGCTCGGCGTAGGTGGCCTTGATGTCATCCATGTTCTTGACAGCCCGGTCCAGTCCGTGCAAGACGGTCTTTCCGTGAGCGGCTACCTTGGGGTTTCCCTGGATGGCAGCTGCGTTGTACAGGTTTCCGAAGTTACCGAAATACCTCTGGGTCCAGGGGTACACAACCAGACACCTGTAGAAATAATAAACAGTCAATAATTACACAAACGTGATGTCTGCATACACACAATTTACGGAAATCAATTAATGTGTCATTTGGAGATGTCAATTATGCGTTAATTACACACCTGTCTCAAATACGAATCCCTCTTGAAAATCAAAATAACAAGCGCATACTAATCTGATAATAACATGACTAATTCCAATAATTTGTAGACCACAGTGTTAAACGCACCATCATTCTGAAATCAAATACGTGTAAGGTATAAAAGTTGTAGCCTACCTGGAAAGAGCCGCGGGGCCCACGTCATCGTAGTCCATCTTCCCGAAGATGCTCTGAATGGTGGCGCGCTCAAAGTCTGTCCACTCAACCATGTTGCTGGCTGTTGAAGTTTCTTTCACAGAGGCTAAGGAATCATATACACTTGGTCTTCGTTTGAGCAGCGTTTTTAAAAGGATCGGAACGCTCCTCCCCAAAGACAGCGATGGGTGGGGTCATGGTAGGGGGCTGTATAAGCCAAGAGTCACAGATTTTACTGAGATAATAATGTGAAGGTTTACTGTTTACCATATATGTTTAAAAGCAATTTGACAAGAATATACTGTCCTAAAATAAATTATGAAATCATTAATTAAAGTATTAGGTTACATAACAATTATTACATTAACATTATTTGAAATATTAACAAAAATAAGCCAAAAATAGTGGGGAAATATACAGTTCTAAACATATGCAAAAAATGTGTAATATGCCTACTATCTGAAGTGATAGACCTATTGCACATCAATTACACTTGGTGGGGATTCAATGACTTTGTCTGAGAAACAGTTTTCAACTAACTCTGTGTATGCCTATAGTCAGATATTACTAAGATATAACTACGATATTAATATATTACTAAGATATACTACATAGCCTACTAAGATATTACATCATTTTTATCCTTGTAATACATTTCTAAACAAATTAATTGATATTTCACCTCTATGTTTATTCTGTGCTAGTAAGCTCGAATCCATATAATATTCATTTTTATAATTGCACTATTCCAATCTATTTTGGAACAATCTCTACCGTTAAACTTGTCTTAACTTTTCCATATTTCTGAGTACAGGCTTCTATTTCTTACTCATGATACAGGCAATTTAGCCATTGACAATACAATTAGACTTTTCTATTTTTTGGGTAAATACCATAAAGCCAGAGGGATAAATAAATAAATAAACTAATATTGAATTATTTTGTATTAAATTAAAATATATATATGACTAACTCCCTTGTGAAAACTACCAGCATAAAAAAAACTCTCAACACATCTCTAATACTAAATATCTTTGTGGACTTCAATGACTGTGATAATCATGTATTTCTTCTTTTTTTTCATAATTTTTATCCATCTCTACCCTGTGTGTTTTGTGTTTGATATTGTGTGTTGCTCACAAGGTGCTAACAATGTCTTTGTAAGTCTTGTATGGAGGACTGTACCAACTTGTGTTTTTGTTCAGTAAAACAAGCAAATAAAGAAATAACTTGTGAGGCATTGTGCCTATTGAAAATTAACAAAAGGCATGTTGCATCTTGTGTATCTTGGAGGTGGGGCTGCATTGGGTGGGGCTCGCGGCTAATATAAAAAGGCTTCGTTTGTAAGAGCTCATCACTGAACTTTTACTTCAGCATCGTCTTTAACGACAATCATGAGTCTCACGGCTAAGGACAAGGCAATGGTCAAGGCCTTCTGGGCCAAGGTGGCCGGCAAGGCTGAGGACATCGGATGCGATGCTCTGTCTAGGTAATGGATATCTTGCTGCTAATTTTATAGCTGTTTTTGAAGTAAAAATGTAGACTATTTGGTGTTAGCGTTCCATCTTTCTTGACATGTCTTTTTCTTCCCGTGTAGGACGCTGGTGGTGTACCCCCAGACCAAGACCTACTTCTCCCACTGGAAGGACCTGAGCCCCGGCTCTGCCCCAGTCAGGAAGCACGGTGGGACCGTCATGGGAGGCATCAGTTTAGCCGTGGCCAGCATCGACGACCTCACCGCAGGTCTCCTCACCCTCAGCGAGCTGCATGCCTTCACGCTGCGTATCGATCCCGCCAACTTCAAGGTCAGGACAGTCACAGCATTATTTATAATAATTTGTTTAGCGTTGACACCAAATCAAAATGTATAGTTAAAATGCATTAAAAACATATCGGGTACTCTTTACAGTAAAATGGACAACATTGCTTATTAAATAAAATAGCCTATTAAAACATGTAGCGTACTAATTTCCATTCCTTTCGTCCTGTAGATCTTGTCCCACAACATCTTGGTGGTGCTGGCTATCTTGTTCCCGGATGACTTCAATCCCGAAGCTCATGTGGCCATGGACAAGTTCCTGGCCGCCGTGGGCCGGGCTCTGTCTGAGAAGTACCGATAAACTGTGGGCAGAAGGCATCAGACCAGACGGATTGCAGCATTGATCAGCACTGTGCTCAGCTCTGTATTGATCTAAAATATAATTAAATGTTCAAACGCACATATTTATGTTTTTTGGTCTTTACTTTGGTTTTTAATGAGTCGTGCTGTAGAGCACAGGACCTGATATGATGAAATACGTTGCTGTTTGCAAGGCTGAAAGACATTGAAACTCAAAAAGGTAATCATAAAGAAAATGGAGACTATATACAAAACATTGCCACAAAAATCTGTCCTCAGAGAAGTTAGCAGTAAAAGTTAAAAAAGTAAAAAGAAAAAAATCGAGAAGAGGAACAAAGTTGAAATAGTAGCCTATAGATGAATCAAATGGCTCGCTTAGAACTTGCTATTGATGAACGAGATTGAACAAACTATTTGACATAGGACCACATAAACAAAATGGAAAAAAGGATTTGACATAACAAAATAATATATATTATAAACTGGGTGGTTCGAGCCCTGAATGCTGATTGGCTGAAAGCCGTGGTATATCAGACTGTATACCATGGGTAAGACAAAACATGTATTTTTACTGCTCTAATTATAATAATATAATAATATAATATACCATTTAGCAGACGCTTTTATCCAAAGCGACTTACGGTCATGTGTGCATACATTTTTACGTATGGGTGGTCCCATATAACCCCCCCCCCCCCCCTCGGGCCTTATTGCTTAATTAGATAATTAGGCTAATTAAGGACTCATATATATATGTATATATATATTATGAATGGATTTATATTATTTATTAATAACATTCCTAAACTCTATACACATAAAAACGTATAAAACGTATAAAACATAGCCTAATGGTTTTGCTGATCATGCTATAATTGTAACATATTATTAATGTATTTTGATAAACCAATGTGGTTAAGTTTTCATAAAATGTGAAAAGTTACATGTTGCATTTATAAATGATGTAAAATGAAATACACAATGACTTGAATAGATTCCTATCTGAACACTTTTTGTAAAGTTATCATGGTTCTGATAAATGTATTTTGTATTTTATAGGGTTCTTTTCACTAACTGATTTATTGTTATTAATAAATAAAAATGTATCTCATGTTGATCTGGTTAAAGCTAGAATCCTTAATTGAAACAATAACAAAGCGGTCACGATCTGTTTTGGTAAAAAACTGAGGGATGGGCCTGGAGAAATCTAACCACTCTCAAATGCATAGACAGAGCTATGGATGCAAGGACTGCCCATCCATGATATAAAAATTATAGTTTTAACCATGTTTTGAGGCAATACAGTGTTTGTTTACATTTACTTTGTTTACAAACAGAGTAAAAGCATAAAACAAGCTTAGGCCTGTATTTTGGGTTCTGATGGGGTACGACAGTTGAACTGAGCTCATGAGGCATATACAAGTCATATTCTTTAAGAATCAATGGGTAAATATTATTAATTCAAAAAAATATATATGTAGCAACTAGGGAGTCTAGGTTTAAACTCTTGATCACTCAACAATTCCTTGCCACACTAATCCATTAACCTAACATAGAATACCAGATCTGTTATGAAAAGTTCTGTTTACTTTTATGAATTAGATGATTGTGTGTGTTTAAACAGGAATTAATCATTGCAGTCCTGATATCATTTAACGCATTGTATCCATTCTGCACCATTAAACACAAGGTTGTATTTATTATATGCATTGGTTTGTTCGTGCACAGCTAATGTAACATGTCAGCGTGGTTAATTGGAAAATATTTTAGTTATTTGCCAAATATTTGTATATATCGCTCATTATCAATATCTGATAACAAGGTGGCAATATTTACACACTTAGCTCATATTGCATTAGTCTACCATATGTGCCACCATATTGATGTTCATGCAACAAAAATAAGGCACAGATAAAAAAATATTCTTTTGCGGAAGATTTTATTTGCTTTAGTAGAAGGAACAACATGTGCCTCTAAACAAATGATCAGCGCTTGTTGGTACTCTGATGGTCGTCGGTCTCTGAGCGGAGGGGCTCTAGTGGTACTGTCTGCCCAGGGAGCTCACCACGACGGCCAGGAACTTCTGGAAAGCGCCCTGGACATCAGCGGTGAAGTCAGCACCCATCCTCGCAGCAACGACAATAGTCAGGCAGTCAGCCAGCAGCTGCAAAAGAAAGGAGAAAATGGACACACTATTGTAATAGATAGGCAAGTAGAATGTGACCTTGTGTGAAGTAGAAAATTATAACTAATTTACCCTGAAGTTGTCGGGATCTACGTGCAGTTTCTCGGAGTGCAGCACACTCAGCTCGGCGTAGGTGGCCTTGATGTCATCCATGTTCTTGACAGCCCGGTCCAGTCCGTGCAAGACGGTCTTTCCGTGAGCGGCTACCTTGGGGTTTCCCTGGATGGCAGCTGCGTTGTACAGGTTTCCAAAGTTACCGAAATACCTCTGGGTCCAGGGGTACACGACCAGACACCTGTAGAAATAATAAACAGTCAATAATTACACAAACGTGATGTCTGCATACACACAATTTACGGAAATCAATTAATGTGTCATTTGGAGATGTCAATTATGCGTTAATTACACACCTGTCTCAAATACGAATCCCTCTTGAAAATCAAAATAACAAGCGCATACTAATCTGATAATAACATGACTAATTCCAATAATTTGTAGACCACAGTGTTAAACGCACCATCATTCTGAAATCAAATACGTGTAAGGTATAAAAGTTGTAGCCTACCTGGAAAGAGCCGCGGGGCCCACGTCATCGTAGTCCATCTTCCCGAAGATGCTCTGAATGGTGGCGCGCTCAAAGTCTGTCCACTCAACCATGTTGCTAGCTGTTGAAGTTTCTTTCACAGAGGCTAAGGAATCATATACACTTGGTCTTCGTTTGAGCAGCGTTTTTAAAAGGATCGGAACGCTCCTCCCCAAAGACAGCGATGGGTGGGGTCATGGTAGGGGGCTGTATAAGCCAAGAGTCACAGATTTTACTGAGATAATAATGTGAAGGTTTACTGTTTACCATATATGTTTAAAAGCAATTTGACAAGAATATACTGTCCTAAAATAAATTATGAAATCATTAATTAAAGTATTAGGTTACATAACAATTATTACATTAACATTATTTGAAATATTAACAAAAATAAGCCAAAAATAGTGGGGAAATATACAGTTCTAAACATATGCAAAAAATGTGTAATATGCCTACTATCTGAAGTGATAGACCTATTGCACATCAATTACACTTGGTGGGGATTCAATGACTTTGTCTGAGAAACAGTTTTCAACTAACTCTGTGTATGCCTATAGTCAGATATTACTAAGATATAACTACGATATTAATATATTACTAAGATATACTACATAGCCTACTAAGATATTACATCATTTTTATCCTTGTAATACATTTCTAAACAAATTAATTGATATTTCACCTCTATGTTTATTCTGTGCTAGTAAGCTCGAATCCATATAATATTCATTTTTATAATTGCACTATTCCAATCTATTTTGGAACAATCTCTACCGTTAAACTTGTCTTAACTTTTCCATATTTCTGAGTACAGGCTTCTATTTCTTACTCATGATACAGGCAATTTAGCCATTGACAATACAATTAGACTTTTCTATTTTTTGGGTAAATACCATAAAGCCAGAGGGATAAATAAATAAATAAACTAATATTGAATTATTTTGTATTAAATTAAAATATATATATGACTAACTCCCTTGTGAAAACTACCAGCATAAAAAAAACTCTCAACACATCTCTAATACTAAATATCTTTGTGGACTTCAATGACTGTGATAATCATGTATTTCTTCTTTTTTTTCATAATTTTTATCCATCTCTACCCTGTGTGTTTTGTGTTTGATATTGTGTGTTGCTCACAAGGTGCTAACAATGTCTTTGTAAGTCTTGTATGGAGGACTGTACCAACTTGTGTTTTTGTTCAGTAAAACAAGCAAATAAAGAAATAACTTGTGAGGCATTGTGCCTATTGAAAATTAACAAAAGGCATGTTGCATCTTGTGTATCTTGGAGGTGGGGCTGCATTGGGTGGGGCTCGCGGCTAATATAAAAAGGCTTCGTTTGTAAGAGCTCATCACTGAACTTTTACTTCAGCATCGTCTTTAACGACAATCATGAGTCTCACCGCTAAGGACAAGGCAATGGTCAAGGCCTTCTGGGCCAAGGTGGCCGGCAAGGCTGAGGACATCGGATGCGATGCTCTGTCTAGGTAATGGATATCTTGCTGCTAATTTTATAGCTGTTTTTGAAGTAAAAATGTAGACTATTTGGTGTTAGCGTTCCATCTTTCTTGACATGTCTTTTTCTTCCCGTGTAGGACGCTGGTGGTGTACCCCCAGACCAAGACCTACTTCTCCCACTGGAAGGACCTGAGCCCCGGCTCTGCCCCAGTCAGGAAGCACGGTGGGACCGTCATGGGAGGCATCAGTTTAGCCGTGGCCAGCATCGACGACCTCACCGCAGGTCTCCTCACCCTCAGCGAGCTGCATGCCTTCACGCTGCGTATCGATCCCGCCAACTTCAAGGTCAGGACAGTCACAGCATTATTTATAATAATTTGTTTAGCGTTGACACCAAATCAAAATGTATAGTTAAAATGCATTAAAAACATATCGGGTACTCTTTACAGTAAAATGGACAACATTGCTTATTAAATAAAATAGCCTATTAAAACATGTAGCGTACTAATTTCCATTCCTTTCGTCCTGTAGATCTTGTCCCACAACATCTTGGTGGTGCTGGCTATCTTGTTCCCGGATGACTTCAATCCCGAAGCTCATGTGGCCATGGACAAGTTCCTGGCCGCCGTGGGCCGGGCTCTGTCTGAGAAGTACCGATAAACTGTGGGCAGAAGGCATCAGACCAGACGGATTGCAGCATTGATCAGCACTGTGCTCAGCTCTGTATTGATCTAAAATATAATTAAATGTTCAAACGCACATATTTATGTTTTTTGGTCTTTACTTTGGTTTTTAATGAGTCGTGCTGTAGAGCACAGGACCTGATATGATGAAATACGTTGCTGTTTGCAAGGCTGAAAGACATTGAAACTCAAAAAGGTAATCATAAAGAAAATGGAGACTATATACAAAACATTGCCACAAAAATCTGTCCTCAGAGAAGTTAGCAGTAAAAGTTAAAAAAGTAAAAAGAAAAAAATCGAGAAGAGGAACAAAGTTGAAATAGTAGCCTATAGATGAATCAAATGGCTCGCTTAGAACTTGCTATTGATGAACGAGATTGAACAAACTATTTGACATAGGACCACATAAACAAAATGGAAAAAAGGATTTGACATAACAAAATAATATATATTATAAACTGGGTGGTTCGAGCCCTGAATGCTGATTGGCTGAAAGCCGTGGTATATCAGACTGTATACCATGGGTAAGACAAAACATGTATTTTTACTGCTCTAATTATAATAATATAATAATATAATATACCATTTAGCAGACGCCCTTATTGCTTAATTAGATAATTAGGCTAATTAAGGACTCATATATATATATATGTATATATATATTATGAATGGATTTATATTATTTATTAATAACATTCCTAAACTCTATACACATAAAAACGTATAAAACGTATAAAACATAGCCTAATGGTTTTGCTGATCATGCTATAATTGTAACATATTATTAATGTATTTTGATAAACCAATGTGGTTAAGTTTTCATAAAATGTGAAAAGTTACATGTTGCATTTATAAATGATGTAAAATGAAATACACAATGACTTGAATAGATTCCTATCTGAACACTTTTTGTAAAGTTATCATGGTTCTGATAAATGTATTTTGTATTTTATAGGGTTCTTTTCACTAACTGATTTATTGTTATTAATAAATAAAAATGTATCTCATGTTGATCTGGTTAAAGCTAGAATCCTTAATTGAAACAATAACAAAGCGGTCACGATCTGTTTTGGTACAAAACTGAGGGATGGGCCTGGAGAAATCTAACCACTCTCAAATGCATAGACAGAGCTATGGATGCAAGGACTGCCCATCCATGATATCAAAATTATAGTTTTAACCATGTTTTGAGGCAATACAGTGTTTGTTTACATTTACTTTGTTTACAAACAGAGTAAAAGCATAAAACAAGCTTAGGCCTGTATTTTGGGTTCTGATGGGGTACGACAGTTGAACTGAGCTCATGAGGCATATACAAGTCATATTCTTTAAGAATCAATGGTAAATATTATTAATTCAAAAATATATATATGTAGCAACTAGGGAGTCTAGGTTTAAACTCTTGATCACTCAACAATTCCTTGCCACACTAATCCATTAACCTAACATAGAATACCAGATCTGTTATGAAAAGTTCTGTTTACTTTTATGAATTAGATGATTGTGTGTGTTTAAACAGGAATTAATCATTGCAGTCCTGATATCATTTAACGCATTGTATCCATTCTGCACCATTAAACACAAGGTTGTATTTATTATATGCATTGGTTTGTTCGTGCACAGCTAATGTAACATGTCAGCGTGGTTAATTGGAAAATATTTTAGTTATTTGCCAAATATTTGTATATATCGCTCATTATCAATATCTGATAACAAGGTGGCAATATTTACACACTTAGCTCATATTGCATTAGGTCTACCATATGTGCCACCATATTGATGTTCATGCAAGAAAAATAAGGCACAGATAAAAAATATTATTTTGCGGAAGATTTTATTTGCTTTAGTAGAAGGAATAACATGTGCCTCTAAACAAATTATCAGCGCTTGTTGGTACTCTGATGGTCGTCGGTCTATGAGCGGAGGGGCTCTAGTGGTACTGTCTGCCCAGGGAGCTCACCACGACGGCCAGGAACTTCTGGAAAGCGCCCTGGACATCAGCGGTGAAGTCAGCACCCATCCTCGCAGCAACGACAATAGTCAGGCAGTCAGCCAGCAGCTGCAAAAGAAAGGAGAAAATTGACATGTAAGAAAATGCATTCTGGCGCAGCATTGAGATAGGCAAGTAGAATATGACCTTGTGAAGTAGAAAAGGATAACTAATTTACCCTGAAGTTGTCCGGATCCACGTGCAGTTTCTCGGAGTGCAGCACACTCAGCTCAGCGTAGGTGGCCTTGATGTCATCCATGTTCTTGACAGCCCGGTCCAGTCCGTGCAGGACGGTCTTTCCGTGAGCGGCGACCATGGGGTTTCCCTGGATGGCAGCGGCATTGTACAGGTTTCCGAAGTTACCGAAATACCTCTGGGTCCAGGGGTACACGACCAGACACCTGTAGAAATAATAAACAGTCAAGAATCACACTCAACTTACAGAAATCAATTATTTTGTCGTTTGGAGATGTCCATTACGCGAAAATTACGTGCATGTGTCAAATAAGAACCCGTCTTGAAAAGCGTTATAACAAGCGAAAGAATCTGATAACAACATGACTAATTCCAGTAATTTGTAGGCAACAATGTTTAAGGCACCATAACGCTGACATCAAATAGGGTATAAAGGGTAGCTTACCTGGAAAGAGCCGCGGGGCCCACGTCATCGTAGTCCATCTTCGAGAAGATGCTTTGGATTGTGGCGCGCTCAAAGTCTGTCCACTCAACCATGTTGCTGGCTATGAGGTTGCTTTGACAGGGTTCTTAATGGAGGTTAAGGAATCCTATGCACTTATCCTTTGTTTGAGCACCGTTTTTAAAGTAGCCTACCGGAACACTCCTCCCTAAAGACAGCGATGGGTGGGGTCATGGTAGTAGGTTGTAAAGCCAAGCGTCACAGATTTTACTGAGATAATATAATGTGAATGGAAAGGTTTACTTTTGATAATATACACTCAGGTCCAAAATTATTGGCACCCATTTTTCTTACTTTTTAACTCTGCATTGTTGGGAAAGGGCTCATAGGTAAGCATTTCACGGTAAAGTCAACACCTGTTGTATTCTGCGCATGTGACAAATACAATTTGATTTGATTTGATAAAGATGAGCACAAAATACTGTATAAAATAAATAATACAAATACAGAGCTATATTGTATGCTAAAATGAATTGGACAATTCTATTATTTTATAGGTTTACTAATAGAATTGCTCAGAGAAAGCGATTTTGTTTAACAAGTTATTCAAAAAATCTAAAATCTAGGGGTCAAAATTATTGGCACCCCTATTTTCAATACCGCAGCACCCTTCCCTTCCGACGATAGCGACAATTAACCTTTTTCTCAAATGTTTAATGAGAATGGAAAACACATTGGGAGGGATCTTAGACCATTCCTCCATATAGACTCTTTCCAGATCATTGATATCCTTCATCTGCTCTTATGGACTGGACTGCCCTCTTTAATTCAAACCACAGGTTTTCAATGGGGTTCAAGTCCCAAGACTGAGATGGCCATTGCAAAATGTTGATTTTGTGGTCAATTGACAATTTCTTTGTGAATTTTGATGTGTGCTTGGGGTTATTGTCTTGCTGGAAGATCCACTTGCGGCCAAATGTCAGCCTCTTGGCAGAGGCAACCAGGCTAAAATGTCCTGGTACTTGGTAAAGTTTATGATGCCATTGACCTTAACAAGGGCCCCAAGTACCACACTCACTTGAATATGATTTGCTATTGAAGCTTTATTTTAATCTTCCTTTTAACTCATAGCAACATATCGTTATAGACCACACACTGGCATGGAGGATTTGGAGTTGGGCATATTGGGCCTGTAGGGTATAGGCCTATGTATATTTACGAATACTCTCATTTCAATAAAGGACGGTTATTGAAATGAGTGTGTGGGCACGTGCAAACTGACAATAATGATCTTCAATAGCCAATACGCCACGTTTCATGTTTGTCATAGGCCTATTGAGTCCCAAATTAGTAGAGTTGGAAAATGGTCAGAAATGTGTACAATACAGCCAATTAGGTATTCCTGTTACAAATCTAGTAGCGCCGTCTGCTGTTACTATATGGCACTTTGTTGCACTTTCTTTTTATTGGACGCAGTTCTTGGATAATTTCCCCCTCAATCAAATATCCAGCAGAGGGCACTCTCAACCTTTCATGTAAGTGATACCCAAACATACCATGGCGTTATCAAAGAGGCACACTCATAGAGATAGATAGAGGACTCATCTTCATATCTGTGCCATCATAGCGTCTGCGACAGCAGCGCCATTGAGGCTACAACCCATAGGAATTCCCACCCAGTTGACTACTTTGACTAGGCCTAATTTAAAATGGCAGAAGCATGGTGGAAGCCCTCAAGACATATTCACCCAATTGGAGAGCTAGTCTGTAAAAGTACAATAGATAATGCTTTATTGTTATTATAAGAGCAACTAATTTCACATACTATTTAAAGGAAAGGTTCACCCATTTTGAATGTTATTTCGTTTTGGTGCATCTCTGAGTGATGTTCTATCGATTTCCCGGGTCATTTCATGTTTTCATGTGTATCTAAGTTATTGGCGTTCAAGCAGGCAGAAATCTGTCAGGTGTGACATAGCACTTTAATGAAGTCGCTCTCATTACACTGGAAGTTAATAAAACTTGCACAAGACAGTTTATAGAATAGTCAATTTAAAGATATTTAGGCAATTTATTAATTACTACATTTAGCTAACATTATATCCTAGACACCCACCTGAGTGACCCATACCCCAAAGAGAAGTCCCCATCTGTTTTATGGACCTGCTGTGAGTTGCCTATATGCAACCTAAACAGAACAATAGCAGCACCGCCCCCTCAAGATTCTGAGCCTGCCTGGCAGGGTTGGTCCTACAAAGCCAGAGCCCCCTGATGGGAGAGCATAATACACAAGGAAATTCTCAAAGCTGCTAATGAGAACCTTGATGACCTTGTACCTAGCCACTAGCCGGTGGGGATTCCGGTGGGGTACCCCCACCCAGGTAGTGGCAGTGCTGGCAACACTGGCTGCAGTAACCCATGGGGAGGGGGTCACACTTGGACAATCAAAGAGGGGGCTTATTATTGTGGCCCAAGTGGCACAAAATAATCAAAGGTCTGACTGTATGGAGATGCTTGGGAAAAACGGGGTACCAGAGTGTTTGTGTCTCAGGTGAAGAGGGTGGATCTGATCTCCATCACCTAGGACTTGACATAGATTAAATAGATAAATCAGATCTCACATTGTTGTCCATTTTTGCTCAATCTTGCATGCTTTCTCAAACAGCTGTAACTGTATATGCATTCGTAAATCAGGTCCTTTCTAGAGTTGGGCTCTGGGATGTAACAACCGTTGAGCATCTGATCTTATGGTTGATTGTGGAGGAAAGGGGTTGAGTGTGTTAGAGTATGTATGTTTATCCCACATCTGTTGTAAGGGGGTAAGGATGTTAAGGAGAATATAGGATGAACCACAATAATTGTTTGCTAAAATAATAATTGCTTGTCAAAAATGTAATGTAATACAATGGCAATCCGGGTTATAGGTTAAAATCCTACGCATGAACTGCCAACATTATTATGCATATTAATCATTAATGAAGGAAAATAAGATACGCAAGATATTTGAATGGATATATATTTTTTAATAGATATATATATATATATTGAGGTGAGAGCATTGGAAATGCTTTTGGCGGTTGACCTGCTTCTGTTTTGTGGGTGGCACTGTGTGCTGTTTTCGATGGATGGGTCCTGGCCTCTCGGGGGCCTAGGGATTGGGGGTAATAATACTTTTAACAAAAATGTTTATTTTCAATTTATGATCTGTAGAAACAATGAGAATAGAAAGGTTCAGAACTTTTGTAAAACATCACAGTACAGTTGAAAAATATATGGCAAATAGAAATCCAATATGGATGGTGTTAAGAGATAGATGGGAGGTGTTGAATGGAGCTGAAGGATGGGACTAATAACAACAACTAATAACAACAAGATAACTAATGTAAAGCATACTGTGTCCATAATAAGTATATAGGTTATAGGTTAAGAGCTTTTGTGAAAGAGCACAGTTAGAAAAATATGGCATTTAGAAGCAAACCAGATGGACATCATGAAAATGATCGGAGGAAGTTCAGGAGTAAAAACAAACAAAATATATTTATTGTAGAATTTGACTGTGTCCATGAAATGTATATAGTATGTATGGGCTGGAAGTAGAGGCCTAAGCGTTGTTGTTCACTAGCTTACTCCAATTGGCGTAGGGGTGGTGGGGTTGGAAAGTAATGAAGGGAAATACACTTCTCAAAAAAAATAAAGGGAACACTTAAACAACACAATGTAACTCCAATCAATCACACTTCTGTGAAATCAAACTGTCCACTTAGGAAGCAACACTGATTGACAATACATTTCACATGCTGTTGTGCAAATGGAATAGACAACAGGGGGAAATTATAGGCAATTAGCAAGACACCCCCAATAAAGGACTGGTTTTGCAGGTGGTGACCACAGACCACTTCTCAGTTCCTATGCTTCCTGGCTGATGTTTTGGACACTTTTGAATGCAGGCGGTGCTTTCACTCTAGTGGTAGCATGAGACGGAGTCTACAACCCACTCAAGTGGCTCAGGTAGTGCAGCTCATCCAGGATGGCACATCAATGCGAGCTGTGGCAAGAAGGTTTGCTGTGTCTGTCAGCGTAGTGTCCAGAGCATGGAGGCGCTACCAGGAGACAGGCCAGTACATCAGGAGACGTGGAGGAGGCCGTAGGAGGGCAACAACCCAGCAGCAGGACCGCTACCTCCGCCATTGTGCAAGGAGGAGCAGGAGGAGCACTGCCAGAGCCCTGCAAAATGACCTCCAGCAGGCCACAAATGTGCATGTGTCTGCTCAGACGGTCAGAAACAGACTCCATGAGGGTGGTATGAGGGCCCGACGTCCACAGGTGGGGGTTGTGCTTACAGCCCAACACTGTGCAGGACGTTTGGCATTTGCCAGAGAACACCAAGATTGGCAAATTCGCCACTGGCGCCCTGTGCTCTTCACAGATGAAAGCAGGTTCACACTGAGCACGTGACAGACGTGACAGAGTCTGGAGACGCCGTGGAGAACGTTCTGCTGCCTGCAACATCCTCCAGCATGACCGGTTTGGCGGTGGGTCAGTCATGGTGTGGGGTGGCATTTCTTTGGGGGGCCACACAGCCCTCCATGTGCTCGCCAGAGGTAGCCTGACTGCCATTAGGTACCGAGATGAGATCATCAGACCCCTTATGAGACCATATGCTGGTGCGGTTGGCCCTGGGTTCCTCCTAATGCAAGACAATGCTAGACCTCATGTGGCTGGAGTGTGTCAGCAGTTCCTGCAAGAGGAAGGCATTGATGCTATGGACTGGCCCGCCCGTTCCCCAGACCTGAATCCAATTGAGCACATCTGGGACATCATGTCTCGCTCCATCCACCAACGCCACGTTGCACCACAGACTGTCCAGGTCTGGGAGGAGATCCCTCAGGAGACCATCCGCCACCTCATCAGGAGCATGCCCAGGCATTGTAGGGAGGTCATACAGGCACGTGGAGGCCACACACACTACTGAGCCTCATTTTGAGTTGTTTTAAGGACATTACATCAAAGTTGGATCAGCCTGTAGTGTGGTTTTCCACTTTAATTTTGAGGGTGACTCCAAATCCAGACCTCCATGGGTTGATAAATTTGATTTCCATTGATAATTTTTGTGTGATTTTGTTGTCAGCACATTCAACTATGTAAAGAAAAAAGTATTTAATAAGATTATTTCATTCATTCAGATCTAGGATGTGTTGTTTAAGTGTTCCCTTTATTTTTTTGAGCAGTGTATATACAGTGGGGGAAAAAAGTATTTAGTCAGCCACCAATTGTGCAAGTTCTCCCACTTAAAAAGATGAGAGAGGCCTGTAATTTTCATCATAGGTACACGTCAACTATGACAGACAAAATGAGAAAAAAAAATCCACAAAATCACATTGTAGGATTTTTAATGAATTTATTTGCAAATTATGGTGGAAAATAAGTATTTGGTCAATGACAAAAGTTTGTCAATACTTTGTTATATACCCTTTGTTGGCAATGACACAGGTCAAACGATTTCTGTAAGTCTTCACAAGGTCTTCACACACTGTTGCTGGTATTTTGGCCCATTCCTCCATGCAGATCTTCTCTAGAGCAGTGATGTTTTGGGGCTGTCGCTGGGCAACATGGACTTTCAACTCCCTCCAAATATTTTCTATGGAGTTGAGATCTGGAGACTGGCTAGGCCACTCCAGGACCTTGAAATGCTTCTTACGAAGCCACTCCTTCGATGCCCGGACGGTGTGGTTGGGATCATTGTCATACTGAAAGACCCAGCCACGTTTCATCTTCAATGCCCTTGCTGATGGAAGGAGGTTTTCACTAAAAAATCTCACGATACATGGCCCCATTCATTCTTTCCTTTACACGGATCAGTCGTCCTGGTCCCTTTGCAGAAAAACAGCCCCAAAGCATGATGTTTCCACCCCCATGCTTCACAGTAGGTATGGTGTTCTTTGGATGCAACTCAGCATTCTTTGTCCTCCAAACACGACGAGTTGAGTTTTTACCAAAAAGTTATATTTTGGTTTCATCTGACCATATGACATTCTCCCAATCCTCTTCTGGATCATCCAAATGCACTCTAGCAAACTTCAGACGGGCCTGGACATGTACTGGCTTAAGCAGGGGGACACGTCTGGCACTGCAGGATTTGAGTCCCTGGCGGCGTAGTGTGTTACTGATGGTAGGCTTTGTTACTTTGGTCCCAGCTCTCTGCAGGTCATTCACTAGGTCCCCCCGTGTGGTTTTGGGATTTTTGCTCACCATTCTTGTGATCATTTTGACCCCACGGGGTGAGATCTTGCGTGGAGCCCCAGATCGAGGGACATTATCAGTGGTCTTGTATGTCTTCCATTTCCTAATAATTGCTCCCATAGTTGATTTCTTCAAACCAAGCTGCTTACCTATTGTAGATTCAGTCTTCCCAGCCTGGTGCAGGTCTACAATTTTGTTTCTGGTGTCCTTTGACAGCTCTTTGGTCTTGGCCATAGTGGAGTTTGGAGTGTGACTGTTTGAGGTTGTGGACAGGTGTCTTTTATACTGATAACAAGTTCAAACAGGTGCCATTAATACAGGTAACGAGTGGAGGACAGAGGAGCCTCTTAAAGAAGAAGTTACAGGTCTGTGAGAGCCAGAAATCTTGCTTGTTTGTAGGTGACCAAATACTTATTTTCCACCATAATTTGCAAATAAATTCATTAAAAATCCTACAATGTGATTTTCTGGAATTGTTTTTCTCATTTTGTCTGTCATAGTTGACGTGTACATATGATGAAAATTACAGGCCTCTCTCATCTTTTTAAGTGGGAGAACTTGCACAATTGGTGGCTGACTAAATACTTTTTTCCCCCACTGTACATACCTCCATACACACACACACATATCCTTTTATAAATTATACACTGCTCAAAAAACAGTTGAAGTGTACCTATGATAACAATTACAGACCTCTACATGCTTTGTAAGTAGGAAAACCTGCAAAATCGGCAGTGTATCAAATACTTGTTCTCCCCACTGTATATATATATATATATATATATATATATATATATATATATATTTGCGAGAGAAAAAAACATATGGGGGATTGGAAATTATGCAGACAATTACATTGATGGAAGTTACAATCTATCTGAAATATTAAAGCTGATCTACCCCCTAAAAACAAACAAAAAAACAACAAACATTAGCTAGTTAATCCAGAGATTCTTACATTCGCCTTGATTCGGCAGTCTCGTCCAGATCATTATGTCATTTGTAGTTCTTTATGATAGCCACATTAGCAGCTAATCAGCATTTCATTTTGGGAGGATAAATACAGGTGAATATATTGATAAAAGTCACCTTGTCCTAGAGAGATTTACACAGTTATCAAAACGTCACGCCAGAGTAAGCTTACGCGAAACACAGCCCTTATTTTAAATTGGAACCATTTCCTTGTTTGACCACTAGGTTTTTTTCACTGCAGTGGATGCTTCTTGGAAAGATGGCTGATGTGTGGCCAAAGCTGTATCTTATTACCTGGCCAGTAGGCTCGGCCTGTAGGAAGTCATCTTTAAGACACTGAAATCTCAGCCATCTCTCACACAACACTCACTGATAATGAATTGCCTTCTTCAAATAAGAAATGTTTTTTAAAATGTCACAGTGCTGTCATCTTACATCTTAAAGATATCTTACATCCTAAAAAGACGTTGTTTGAGTCCTGATTGTTTCAAATGTTTTATGAAAATATGGAAAATAGCCTATACAAATATCTGTGTCCAAACTATATGATCTAAGACTGACGCAAGATATCAAATAAGGTTGTTATGTTGCAGTCAACTTCAGGGAAAGTTCCCAAGATTTCCCCATTTAATTTAGAACGCATCCCGTTAAAGTTACGTAAATGGCCTTGTGTAGTTATTTGGCCAGTTACAGCAGGGAAATCAATCATGCTATCCTGCTATATGACAATGAAGATTAATGTCTGGCCACAACATATTGGTCTCAGGCACATTCATTTAGGACATTTTAATGTCAAGGTGTATGCAAAAGTGGAGTAAAAATATAATTCATTGTGAAGTGCATAATTTTATGAAATGCCCTTGAAACAATGTGAAATAGGCTGTTAACTTTATTTTATAGTTGACGTGACAAATCCATTCTACAAGAGAATCCAAATGTAGCCGACAATATATATCACAAGACATTGTCAGTGTGTCAATATTGGATGGACATTATGCCTCGGATGACAGCTTGACAGCTGAACTCCCGTTTAGCGGTACTTCTCCGCCAGGGCCAGAGCTAGTTGCTGCAGGAACTTGTCCACGGACAGATGGATCTCGGGGGTGAATTCCGCAGGGAAGTAGGCGGCAACGACCACAATCAGGTTGTGAGCCAGGATCTGCAAATGAAAAGGGAAATAGATTATTTCACATTCACACAGGTAAAATCTCCTATTTTGGTGTGTGTTCTTTCCAGTCTTATTCTCTTACCTTGAAGTTGGTGGGGTCCACCCTCAGCTTGGTGGCGTGCAGTTCACTGAGCTTGGACAAGAAATCAACGAGATTGTCCATGTTGCCTACACATTCATCGATCTGATTCATGATGGTGATGCCGTGCTTCTTCACTGGAGCGGAACCGGGGGCCACGGAAGCCCAGTGGGAGAAGTAGGCCTTGGTCTGGGGGTAGACAACCACCATCCTGTCGTGGACATTAGAAATCAGGTGAGCCAAAATGAATATTCAATAATCATTCACACGGTCGGGGCTCCCGCCCTTTCTTCGCCGACATACACTCTTAGAAAAAGGGTTCCAAAAGGGTTCTACCTGGAACCAAAAGGGTTCTCTACCTCGAACCAAAAATGGTTATTCAATGCGTTATCCTATAGGGACAGCTGAACAACCCTTTTAGGTTCTAGAGTAGGCTAAGCATTTATAGCTTTCAAATTGACTGAGGAATTCTGTGTTAATAATTTGAACAGCCTACATGTCACTAGTCTATAATTTATCATACATCGTTATGTAATTACCTGGAAAGAGCCTGTTCTCCAATCTCATCGGATTTAGGGAGGATCTTGCCCCAGATGGCCTTCACCTTGGCTTTGTCCTTGGCTGAGAGACTCATAGCTGCGTCTTGTCCGTTTATCCACCTACAGTGAGGGAAAAAAGTATTTGATCCCCTGCTGATTTTGTACGTTTAACCACTGACAAAGAAATGATCAGTCTATTTGCATTTTAATGAGGGAAATAAGTATTTGACCCCCTCTCAATCAGAAAGATTTCTGGATCCCAGGTGTCTTTTATACAGGTAACGAGCTGAGATTAGGAGCACACTCTTAAAGGGAGTGCTCCTAATCTCAGCCTGTTACCTGTAAAAAAGACACCTGTCCACAGAAGCAATCAATCAATCAGATTTCAAACTCTCCACCATGGCCAAGACCAAAGAGCTCTCCAAGGATGTCAGGAACAAGATTGTAGACCTACACAAGGCTGGAATGGGCTACAAGACCATCGCCAAGCAGTTGGTGCGATTATTCGCAAATGGAAGAAACACAAAATAACTGTCAATCTCCCTCGGCCTGGGGCTCCATGCAAGATCTCACCTCGTGGAGTTGCAATGATCATGAGAACGGTGAGGAATCAGCCCAGAACTACACGGGAGGATCTTGTCAATGATCTCAAGGCATCTGAGACCATAGTCACCAAGAAGGGGACAGGACAATTTCACCGCATCAAAGGGACGATGGACGGGGCCGTCAAATCTTGGGTGAGAACCTCCTTCCCTCAGCCAGGGCATTGAAAATGGGTCGTGGATGGGTATTCCAGCATGACAATGACCCAAAACACACGGCTAAGGCAACAAAGGAGTGGCTCAAGAAGAAGCACATTAAGGTCCTGGAGTGGCCTAGCCAGTCTCCACACGTTAATCCCATAGAAAATCTGTGGAGGGAGCTGAAGGTTCGAGTTGCCAAATGTCAGCCTTGAAACCTTAATGACTTGGAGAATATCTGCAAAGAGGAGTGGAACAAAATCCCTCCTGAGATGTGGGCAAACCTGGTGGCCAACTACAAGAAACGTCTGACCTGTGTGATTGCCAACAAGGGTTTTTCCACCATGTACAAAATCACGTTTTCATGCTATCACAAAACATTTAACAATATGTAGGCTACATGCATTTTATTTCAGAGGAATTAAACAAAAAGCTTTACACTTTCATTGAATGAAATAGGCTAATATTCAAATTGAGTAGTGTCCAGTTAAAAAGTATCATGCAATTCCCCTGATGAAGGCTAGCCTGTACAACAACGGCTTTTCCCCAACTGACATTTCGATTCATCATTAAAAAATACCAGAAATATGGAACTATCAAATGGGTGGGGCCCTCTGAATATGAAGATAACACACATTTTTAGTCATGCTCTTTCTTCAATAGTTTACACCCAATCTAGGTTTTTATTTTTTAAACAAGACCCTAAATAAACACTTACATTAATAATTAGCATTTTACAAAGATAATATTACAATTCAATGTAAATATTACAACGATAAATTAAAAGAGAATTTAGGGCTAAAGGAACCAAAATCCTTTATTGGTCTATACATTTTACTTTTTGAAATTATGTTCGATTGCATCATTAAGTATGCATGTGTTTATGAAGGCTAATCATTACCTGTTTATTCGATCCGTAATAATTTGAATTGGCAACGCCTAAATGCTGAGCGCAGTGCCATCGTAGGCCTGTGGGGAAAGATCAGCGTGGATGAGATCGGACCCCAGGCCCTGGCCAGGTACAGTATTGTAATATTGATTTAGATATCATTAAATATCCAAGATGGTGTAGTAGTGCAGTCCTGTTTTTGTCGTGTGTCTGTAAATAGCCTGTAAATACCCTGTTTTTGTTTTGTTTTTTTCGTACATATTTCCCTATCAGACTTTTCATCCTTCTACAAAATATACTTTCCTGCAACCTCTATTATTGACTTACCTTTTATCTAAAATCTCCAGTTGAAACTAGCTAGCCAGCTAACTAGCTACTTGCTATTAGCCACAGTTAGCGGTATTTCACCCAGAACATTGGATTTTTCTGCGGGAATAATTGAATCACTGGACATTAATCACCGGATCGCAACTAGCTAGCCGCAACCGAATGGATGTTGCTGTCTGGCTAATTACCACTGCCCCCGATGCAAGCACCAGTTAGCCTCGAGCTAGCCTAGAGCCAGGCTCATATCTACCTCTAGGTCTACCGGACGGGAGTAGCCAGCTAACTAGCTACTTGCTATCAGCTACCGTTAGCGGTTTTTCACCATTGTCTGTGGCCTGCACCACCCACCAGCCAGCTCTAGTCTGGACTATTATTCGGCCAGTCAGCACTGTCTGCACAGCGCGTTATCGACCCAGGACATATCAGTTTTTCTGCCGGAATCACTGAATCACTGGACCTTTAACTCCGGATTCATCGCTACCAGCTAGCTGCAACAAAATGGACGTTGTGGTCTGGCTAATCATCCTGAGCTAGGCCCATCTCCCGGCTATCTACCTCTCTGTCAACCGGACGGGACCACCTAGTGTTGACACGGAGCCCCGCTGATCCTACACGACTGGTCTGCCGACGAAATCGTCTGATGTGGTTACAACAGGCTTCCCGTTACGACGTCGACCACGAAGATTCCATCTGCTAGCCCCGGCCCGCTAGCACACGCTCACCATGGCCTCTTGCTCGCTAGTGCTTTAGCAACCCCCGAACTACCTCCGAACTATCCTACTGCTGTTCACCGGACCTTATGATAACTCAGCTATACAGCTGATGTCTGCTGGACTGTTCCTTTTTACGGTACCGCATCCTGTTTATGTTTAGCCCCAGCCCAAACTGTGTCGTCATTACCAGCTGTTGTCTTAGCTCTCTCAAATTACACCTGTGATTGCTTTATGCCTCTCTCCCATCTCAATATGGTTAGCTTATTGTTGTTTCGGTTATTTCTAATTGTACTATTTCACTGTAGATCCCCCAGCCCAGCTAAACCTGCCTTAGATAGCTCCTTTGTCCCACCCCCCATAAATGCGGAGACCGACTCAATTGGTGCCTCCAGTGATGCTATCTCTTTCATTGTTACCCAACGCTTAGGTTTACCTCCACTTTACTCATATCCTTCCATATCGTTGTCTGTACATAATGCATTGAATCTTTTCTACAACGCCCGGAAATCTGCCCCCTTTATTCTATGTACCCAACGCACTAGAAGACCAGTTCTTAAAGCCTTTAGCCGTATCCTTATTCTAGTCCTCCTCTGTTCCTCCGGTGATGTAGAGGCTAACCCAGGCCCTGCAGCCCTCAGTATCACTCCTTCTCCCCAGGAGCTATCATTTGCTGACATCTGTAATCGCAAAAGCCTTGGTTTCCTGCATGTAAATATCAGAAGTCTACTTCCTAAGTTTGAATTATTCACTGCGTTAGCACACTCCGCCAACCCTGATGTTCTAGCAGTGTCTGAATCCTGGCTTAGGAAGGCCACCAAAAATTCAGAAATTTCCATCCCCAACTATAACATTTTCCGTCTAGATAGAACTGCCAAAGGGGGTGGAGTTGCAATCTACTGTAGAGATAGCCTGCAGAGCTCTATCATACTATCCAGGTCTGTGCCCAAACAATTTGAGCTTCTACTTCTAAAAATCCACCTTTCCAGAAATAGCTGCTTGCTACAGACCCCCCTCAGCCCCCAGCTGTGCCCTGGACACCATATGTGAATTGATTGCCCCCCATTTATCCTCAGAGTTCGTATTGCTTGGTGACCTAAATTGGGATATGCTTAATAACCCGGCCATCCTACAATCCAAACTAGATGCCCTCAATCTCACGCAAATTATCAACGAACCTACCAGGTACAACCCTAAATCCGTAAACATGGGTACCCTCATAGATATCATCCTGACTAACTTACCCTCTAAATACACCTCTGCTGTCTTCAACCAGGATCTCAGCGATCACTGCCTTACTGCCTGCGTCCGTAACGGGTCCGCGGTCAAACGACCACCCCTCATCACTGTCAAACGCTCCCTAAAACACTTTAGCGAGCAGGCCTTCCTAATTGACCTGGCCCAGGTATCCTGGATGGATATAGATCTCATTCCGTCAGTAGAGGATGCCTGGTTGTTCTTTAAAAGTAATTTCCTCTCAATCTTAAATAAACATGCCCCATTCAAAAAATACAGAACTAAGAACAGATATAGCCCCTGGTTCTCCTCAGACTTGACTGCCCTTGACCAGCACAAAAACATCCTGTGGCGTACTGCATTAGCATCAAATAGCCCCCGCGATATGCAACTTTTCAGGGAAGTTAGGAACCAATATACACAAGCAGTCAGGAAAGCAAAGGCTAACTTTTTCAAACAGAAATTTGCATCCTGTAGCACTAACTCCAAAAAGTTTTGGGACACTGTAAAGTCCATGGAGAATGAGAGCACTTCCTCCCAGCTGCCCACTGCACTGAGGCTAGGAAACACTATCACCACCGATAAGTCTACAATAATCGAGAATTTCAACAAGCATTTTGCTACGGCTGGCCATGGTTTCGACCTGGCTACCACTACCCCGGCCACCAACTCTGCACCCTCCGCTGCAACTTGCCCATGCCCCCCCCCCCCCCCCCCCCGGCTTCTCCTTCACACAAATTCAGACAGCTGGTGTTCTGAAAGAGCTGCAAAATCTGGACCCCTACAAATCAGCTGGGCTAGACAATCTGGACCCTTTCTTTCTAAAACTAGCAGCCGAAATTGTCGCAACCACTATTACTAGTCTGTTCAACCTCTCTTTCGTAACGTCTGAGATCCCCAGAGATTGGAAGCTGCCACGGTCATCCCCCTCTTCAAAGGGGGTGACACTCTAGATCCAAACTGTTACAGACCTATATCCATCCTGCCCTGCCTTTCGAAAGTATTTGAAAGCCAAGTTAACAAACAGATCACCGACCATTTCGAATCCCACCGTACCTTCTCCGCTATACAATCCGGTTTCCGAGCTGGTCATGAGTGCACTTCAGCCACGCTCAAGGTCCTAAACGATATTATAACCGCGATCGATAATAGACAGTACTGTGCAGCCGTCTTCATCGACCTGGCCAAGGCTTTCGACTCTGTCAACCACCGCATTCTTATTGGCAGACTAAATAGCCTTGGTTTCTCAAATGACTGCCTCGCCTGGTTCACCAACTACTTCTCAGATAGAGTTCAGTGTGTCAAATCGGAGGGCCTGTTGTCTGGACCTATGGCAGTCTCTATGGGGGTGCCACAGGGTTCAATTCTTGGGCCGACTCTTTTCTCCGTGTATATCAATGATGTCGCTCTTGCTGCTGGTGACTCTCAGATCCACCTCTACGCAGACGACACCATGTTGTATACATCTGGCCCTTCATTGGACACTGTGTTAACAAACCTCCAAACGAGCTTCAATGCCATACAACACTCCTTCAGTAGCCTCCAACTGCTCTTAAACACTAGTAAAACGAAATGCATGCTCTTCAATCGAACGCTGCTGGCACCCGCCCACCCGACTAGAATCACCACTCTCGACGGGTCTGACCTAGAGTATGTGGACAACTACAAATACCTAGGTGTTTGGTTAGACTGTAAACTCTCCTTCCAGACTCACATTAAGAATCTCCAATCCACCAAAGTTAAATCTAGAATCGGCTTCCTATTTCGCAACAAAGCCTCCTTCACTCATGCTGCCAAACATGCCCTCGTAAAACTGACTATCCTACCGATCCTTGACTTCGGCGATGTCATTTACAAAATAGCCTCCAACACTCTACTCAGCAAATTGGATGTAGTCTATCACAGTGCCATTCGTTTTGTCTCCAAAGCCCCATACACTACCCACCACTGTGACCTGTACGCTCTTGTTGGCTGGTCCTCACTACATGTCCGTCGTCAAACCCACTGGCTCCAGGCCATCTATAAATCACTGCTAGGCAAATCCCCACCTTATCTTAGCTCATTGGTCACCATAGCAGCACCCACCCGTAGTCTGCGCTCCAGCAGGTATATCTCACTGGTCATTCCCAAAGCCAACACCTCCTTTGGCCGCCATTCCTTCCAGTTCTCTGCTGCCAATGACTGGAACGAATTGCAAAAATCTCTGAAGCTGGAGACTCTTATCTCCCTCACTAACTTTAAGCATCAGTTGTCAGAGCACCTTACCGATCACTGCACCTGTACACAGCCCATCTGAAATTAGCCCACCCAACTACCTCATCCCTATATTGTTATTTATTTTGCTAATTTGCACCCCAGTATCTCTATTTGCACATAATCTCTTGCACATCTAGCATTCCAGTGTTAATACTAATTGTAATTATTTTGCACTATAGCCTATTTATTGCCTTACCTCCATAACTTGCTACATTTGCACACACTGTATATATATTTTCTGTTGTATTTTTTGACTTTATGTTTTTTTTACCCCATATGTAACTCGGTGTTGTTGTTTTTATCGCACTGCTATGCTTTATCTTGGCCAGGTCGCAGTTGTAAATGAGAACTTGTTCTCAACTGGCTTACCTGGTTAAATAAAGGTGAAAAAAATAAATTAAATAAAAAACACGATAATAGGCTACATAGGCTATATAGCACTATTTGCGCAATAGGATATCGCGGTGTTCACTTTTGGTGCGATACAGACCTTATTGATTGTGAAGTATAATTGTAATTGCAGCCTGTTTTATTTATTTTTAGACTTCTGATCGTATCTCCATGGACTCAGAGGCACTTCAGCACCTTCGACAACCTGTCCACACCCGCTGCCATCATGAGTAACCCCGCTGTTGCCAAACACGGAAAGACCGTGATGCACGGACTGGACAGAGCTGTGCAGAACCTGGATGACATCAAAAACACCTATACTGCAATGAGTGTGATGCACTCGGAGAAACTGCACGTGGATCCCGATAACTTCAGGGTGAGTATTAAACTTTAGCAACAAAAAATGCATTAAATAGCGTTATGAGCCAATGTAAAGCTTATGGCAATATTTCATTTTCCATGTGGTTATTTTACGGTCCCCTCTCCACAGCTCCTCGCCGACTGCATCACCGTGTGCGTGGCCGCCAAGCTCGGTCCCGCCGGTTTCAGTGCTGATACTCAGGAAGCCTTCCAGAAGTTCCTGGCTGTCGTTGTGTCCGCTCTCGGCAGACAGTACCACTAGAGCGTCACTCGACAGTATCAATATGGAAGAGAGATTACACTCCAACTCCAGTCTGTTAGGCTGGAAGCTGTGCCATAGCTACACATATTGAAAATAATAAAAATCAATTTAAAAGCATTTATGTTTTTGAAGTGTTGTTTTTCGATGGAAAATGCTCTCCTGCAATTTTACTAATGGCACATGGTTTCTAGTTAGGCCTTCAGAGGGTTCAAATGAGTGATATATAGGCCTAGGCCTAGGCCTAGGGCTACATATCTTTAAGTTTGAAATCGAAATTATTTCCTAAAGCGTGGACAAATGATCACATAGGCCTAATGTTGCCTCATTTACAAAGTGAAATAGGCCTAACTATTTACATATTTAGATATTGATATTCTTTGTTTTTAGATATTTAGGTATTGGTTTCCTTACAAAAGAATTACTGCAATCCGCTGTCAAGAAATGCTTTTGCCGTTTTTGTACTAAAACCCCATGTAGCCTAAGTCAATCTTTTAAGCACATTTTTAAATGTCATACCCAAGAGCCCGAGGGACTATCCCACTAGTATGCCTACTAGGCTACATTTCAACACATTTTAAAAACAATACACCTTTGTACGAAATAGTAAAACCTTTTAATTTACATACATTTAGGTTAAGAGATGCGCAAAGATACTTTATTACTACAAAATAAAATAAAATACAATTTTATCAAAAATAAACTACAAAATGCAGCGGTGCCGAAAGGGGTTTGAAAGAAAGTCGAGTCACGGAACTTTCAGAATGAGAGTGAGTGTGTTATATACATTATAACACAACGTGTTCGCTTTCAAAGTCGAGTTCACGTCCCCCTTTGGACCAAATTCACTGCATTGAAAATACAATATACCCTACCATTTGCAACAGAGTCTTGTTGCAAATTACATGGTCATTTTTACCACAATACAAATTACAAAATACTCAAAAGTTATTAAAATATTTAAAATTCATGTAGGCCTAAAATAAATATTTGTTCATCTTTGAATAGGTTTTCATTGTGCCTATGCTGTCTATTCATATAGCCCATTCAGTTTACCAACCCCTGTCGGGAACAACTCCACATTAATCAAATATTAAATGAGGTCAGCTAAATTCATGTTCCACGCATTAGATAGGCTATCCAAAGTTATGGAGAACAACATACTGAGCTAGTGCATGGTGGGCCTAAATCACTATTTAATACTTACTCCTTCTTTTCTTCATTTAATGTATTACATCTAGATGTGGTAGTGATCAAATTCAAATATGACTTTGTGATGGTGAACTGCGGTGGAATAAGGACACAAACAGAGGACATAACTTAATGAATTGCCTGTTTCTTTTATTGTGATAACAACAGAGCAGGAACTGAACTCCAATTTATCTGTATTTGTCAGCCAGGGCAGCGGACAAGGCTGCAAGGAATTTATCCACAGCAATGTGCACTTCGGGAGTGAAATCCACAGGGAAGTGAACAGCCAGGGTCACAAGGATGTTGTGGGACAGAATCTGAAAAGTATATTTTTAAAGTTAATATTGAAGGATTAAGCCATAGCAACAGACTTAGAGTTGATGTCGAAAGTGATCAATATACAGACAATAGGTTATCTGGGAGCGAACCTTGAAGTTTCCAGGGTCAACGCGCATATTGAAAGCGTGCAAATCGCTGAGAGCACTCAGTCCTCCAACGAGGTTGTCCATCTTTCCGACAGCATTACCAATTGCACCCATGATGGTACTTCCATGCTTCTTGACTGGGGCAGAGCCGGGGCTCAGGTCAGCCCAGTGGGAGAAGTAGGTCTTAGTCTGGGGGTAAGCAGTCAGCATCCTGCAAAGGAAGGTACAGAATAGTTTGTACCATAGGCGTTTTTATTCGATTTTCAACTTCTAAGCATTACGCGTATCATATTTCTCCCATCGTCTGTGTCTACAATGTAATCAAAGTAGTTGACTTATTGTATGTTAAAATGTTTCGTCCGGGTAGGCACATAGGCCGCTGTCAACAGGTTAAACACAACCATTCTCATAATTCTTTTTTTGAAGAAGGCTTACCTTCCCAAAGCCTCAGCGCCGACGACATCTGCCTCTCCACTAATCTTGCCCCAGAAGGCCTTGACCAAAGATTTGTCCTTTGCTGTCAGACTCATTTTGCTCCTTTTTGATTTCCCTGTATTAAATGTACAAGAAATGAACCTAACAAGTTGACTGTCTATACAACTAGGTCCCTTTATATTATCGTAGAGCAGCAGACACGCCCAGCTACTAGGGTACACTCCCCCTCCACTGTAACCATCTTGGTCAAAATCCAATAGTAAGAACCGTTATCTTGGCTTTCATGAAATATTACATTAGCGTTTTTATATCAGGTAATTCAATAAGATGTCAGAGGGCTATGCTTCTAATCATATCCATAATTAATTTTGTTCCTTTTTGTGGCCTACGTTTTCATCTTCTGGCTGTACTGTAACACAATACATATACATGAATTGTAGGCCTACCAGATGCAACAATTTTACAATTTGTTTGATTGATAAAGATAATAACAATAATATTATCATTATTAATTTTTTTACGTTGCATAAAAATAATTGTTTCAGAGTATCCTAATCGAGCATATATTTCCAATAAGTAAATTCAAAAGATGCAGCTGCTTTTGCCAAAATAGCCAAATATTTATTGATAGTTAATTGGCTATTTGAAATGGCATAGGCCTAGAGTATGATGCAAATGTCGTTCTATCCTACGCAATGTTAAATAATTAAGGTAGGCTATATATTTGATTGTACTATAATACATATTACATTGGTAAATTCAATTGTAGAAATCAAATCCACCTTCAAAGACCTGCATTCAATTGGAAAATATTTATTCAAGGTGACGTATTTCACATTTGTATGTATCAATGATATGCCTATTCTGGTGTTCAATTGAAGTTGGATATGATTCCCAATTAAAAGGTTGATTGGACTTCGAATGACGATCGAAAGAAAAGTCAGAGAGGTCATGCGAGGACATGGGTACACACCTATCCGCAAATAATACTGGACTTTCCTGCTTATCACATTTAATGTCTTGAAATTAATAACTTAGAATGGGTGGGACCGGTCTGAATACCTCGATTTAAAAAAGGAAGGCATAATTTTGTCATAGATAAGAAACTGTGCCAAATTGTAGGCCGGAATTGGCTGGAATTATCAAATTGCATCTCTTTCTATTTTTTTCCTTTGAATAGCCTTATACACAGCAATGAAGGAAATGTAATCTTCGGAAGAGTTTTGCCATAACCTTGCTTTTATTCTTGCATCAGTTGGATCAACTAAAACTGTTTAGCTGTGATCGTGCGAATTTTGAAACGTTGGTAATCTAGATAAAACTGTATATGCCTATTTACATATGATTTCAGATTGTAGGATCTAACCTACAGACTTGATAATGTAACAACTAATAAATTAACATTTATTGTGTTTTTTAACAGATAAATGATTGGAATTTAGGTCATCAAATTCGAGAGCTGAAGCGCTCACTTGGCCAATACTTATCTTTGCCAGAGCCAATCACATGCGCCGCCTCCAGTGGGCGGAGAGCGCTCATAAATATAAGTTGCAGGCAAAGTGTCTCCCTACACAAGACATTAATTAATTGTATCTTGTTGCAAAACCGGAGATCAAACACTGACAACATGGTTGACTGGACAGATGCAGAGAAGAGCACCATCAGTGCTGTGTGGGGCAAAGTAGATATCAATGAGGTCGGACCACTGGCTCTGGGAAGGTGGGTCACGGCTTCAGCCTGATTCAAGTATATAATTTAATGTAGCTTATCATGAGTAATTATAACACTATTATACCTGTCATGTTATCTAATCATTACTATTAATATTGAGTTGATATTGTTAAACTTGAATGGAGCATGTTAGAGTATTAATTAGGCATATAATTGAAATACATTTGAAAATAATCCACATATGTCTGTGTTCTTGCAATGACAGAGTCCTGATCGTCTACCCCTGGACTCAGCGTTATTTCGGCTCTTTCGGAGATCTGTCCACTCCTGCAGCAATCATGGGCAACCCCAAAGTTGCTGCTCACGGCAAGGTCGTGTGTGGAGCTCTGGATAAAGCTGTGAAGAACATGGGCAACATCTTGGCCACATACAAGTCACTGAGCGAGACCCATGCCAACAAACTCTTCGTCGACCCTGACAATTTCAGGGTATGCCTTCTGTCTTGAGAAATAGGTTTATATTTTAGGCTATACTGAGTTAGGCCTACACGTATAACATTCAGAACAATACGTCTAATTCCAAAGGTAAAACAAAAACGGCAGTCTTATTTAACGTCTTCCTTCTTTGTTTTTTGTCCACAGGTGTTGGCTGACGTCCTCACAATTGTCATTGCCGCCAAGTTCGGAGCAGCTTTCACTCCTGAAATCCAGGCAACCTGGCAGAAGTTCATGAAAGTGGTTGTGGCAGGCATGGCCAGTCGGTATTTCTAAATGCATCCCAGACAAGTGATTATGTTCTGACATCCCTGCCTGAGTGAAAATAAAGACATCGAAACAAAATATTGTATTTGTATTTATACAAAGTGTTTTTTTAGAAGGGGGTGGGGGGGTGTTTAGCAATTTTGGGGACAGTTCCACATCAAAATCCTTAATCAATACTTAGGCTATACCCTATTTAGATGAGGGAAGTGGAGCTAGGCCCCCATATGGCATGTAATCGAAGAAAGAAAAACAAGTGGGCGGCCAGTACGATGCAGAACACTTTAGTAAACTATTTACAGGTAATATTTACAAAGCATACATATAAGTCGCAGGGCCTCGTTTCCCAGAGCCTTCGTAGCCTTAAGATCATTGCCATGCGATACAGGTCTCTTTCTCTCACACACACACCGCATACCGTTTGGCGCCGCCAACTACAGCAGCGTTCGGG